GGCTTTTGATTCAGTTTTAATAATGTTTAGAGGTTGTCAGAAATAATGTCAAAATCTGGTTTTAGATTTCCTTGGTTGCCTGAAATAGAACTTTTTCTTTTGGTGTCTGCCATACAGGTGTCTAGTTGGCTATCATTCTTTAACCTGTCACTGATATTAAAATACACCAGAAAAAAAAATACACCAGAAATTTGAATAATATTATTGGTCTGTCATAGTTGGAATATGAATATGTTAGGGAAAGGACAATGGGGAAATAAGGTGACATTCTTTGTTGCCAGGAATCCCTGGGTTTTGTACTAATTAGCCTTGAAAAATGTGGAGTTATTTGACAGACCAGATGTTTTCAGCATGCAGCCATGTGTCTCATCAGTGCATGTGTCTGTGTCCGCAGGCAACATTGTTAGATTTTTCTCATTCTATAAACAATGTTCCAAAATATAACTAAACCCCAAAGTATGTTTATCTTTTTGGCTTAATTTCTGGCTTTCTATCCATTCTAAGGTTTCTCTCTAGAGAAACTGCATTTTATTGCACGTAGCTCTTCATACCTAATTGCAGTATAAACACTATTCTCTTTATACTGAACCATGTGAATTGTACTGTTTTTGAGTCTGTAAAATTGTAATAAAGGCTACCAATTCACATTAACTATATTTATACTTTTATTTCTAAATGTAGGGGAAATAAATCTTTCTCCCTTCCATTTATTTGGACTAAGATTTTGATTTTTAGAACGTATGAGGTCAAGACATTAAAAAAAAAAGTAAAACCAATCTCGAGTCTTTGGTGTTTGTGGTACTAAAGTACATTGGAGCAAGAAGAGCTTAAGTGTCTACTGTGAAATTCATTCTTAAAATCAAAATAGAGCCATCAGTTTTTTATTTATAAGATTGGAACTGAATTTTTTCCTATACTAAATATAACATGGGAAGTTAGGAAATTAGGAAACTAAAAACTAAAAACATAAGAAAAATTATCACCCATAATGTGTATATCCAAAGGGAAAAAAAAATCATGGTTAACATTTTTGTATCTATTTTTCTAGTCATTTTCTGTGTATTTATGTATTTGTTTATGTATGTGTTTAGTGATATATAGCTCATACATGCACCTATATTCATAATTTATACATGTATGCATATTTATGGCTTTGAAAAATGTTACAATTATACTTATAAGTTTTATTTTTTGCAATAGCTTTTATGCAACAATATTGTAAACATTTTGCTGTCTTTTACTACATGGATGTATCGTCATGTATTTAACCAATTCCTTGTTATTAGACATCTAGATTAGTTTTTTATTGACTAATGTAAATACCTACAATTCAAGAGGCTTACATGCTTTTGTAAATCTAATACTTCTTTTTGGAAATGCAACTGGTTAGAATGCTTGTTTTGGTAAAATTCTTCAGTGAAAACTATCATTAGTACAAATTTGTTTACCAGAAGGCAGTGAATTCTCCTTTATTGAAACCCCTGATAGTAATACCCATTATCAAAGAACCAAGATGCCCTTCAACAGATGAATGGGTAAGGAAGATGTGGTCCATATACACTATGGAGTATTATGCCTCCACCAGAAAGGATGAATATGCAACTTTTGTATCAACATGGATGGGACTGGAAGAGATTATGCTGAGTGAACTAAGTCAAGCAGAGAGAGTCAATTATCATATGGTTTCACTTATATGTGGAGCATAACAAATAACATGGAGGACATAGGGAGATTGAGAGAAGGGAGTTGAGGGAAATTGGAAGGGGAGATGAACCATGAGAGACTATGGACTCTGAAAAACAATCTGAGGGTTTTGAAGGGGCGGGGGATTGGGAGGTTGGGGGAGCCAGGTGGTGGGTATTATGGAGGGCATGTATTGGATGGAGCACTGGGTGTGGTGCATAAACAATGAATTCTGTTACGCTGAAAAGAAGTAAATAAAAAATTAAAAAAAAATAATACTCATTATCTTCTAAGAAATGTTTGGGAGTTTGAGTGACAAAATCACATTTTGATTTGCATTTTTTCACATATCTGTCCAACTCCCCCCTACCCCCCAGTCCCCCATGCCCCATATATTGGCCTTTTTTATGTTCTTATGTGATTTTTCTTTATTCATTACTTAAAAAAAAAACTTAAGTTTATATGTTGTAAATAATCTTTACCAAGTTTTTGTTTCTTCTTTATTCTTATGTCTTTTTAATATATAACTTACTTTGTTTTTACTTTGTCAACTTTATCAGTTTTAGTTTTATTTGTTCTCTTATGCTTACAGAAGCTTTCCTACCTATCAGATAAGTATTGTCTCCTTTACTATTCCATTACCAGCAGTATTTACTTTTACATAACCAGCAATGTTTCTTTTCTTAAAATCTGTTCTATCTGATATTAATATAGGCACTCCAGCATTTTTATGGTTACTTTGTACATGGTATACCTTATTCTATATTTTACTTTTATCCATTTGTATCTTTGAATCTAACGTGTGTTGCTTGTAGAGAACATTTAATCGGATCATACCTTTTATTTTTTATTTATTTTATTTATTTTTTAAAAGATTTTATTTATTTATTTGACAGAGAGAGAGACGCAGGGAGAGAGGGAACACAAGCAGAGGGAGTGGGAGAGGGAGAAGGAGGCTTCCCACTGATCAGGGAGCCCCATGCAGAGCTCCATCAGGGATCATGACCTGAGCTGAAGGCAGATGCTTTTTTTTTTTTTTTTTAATTTCTTTTCAGCATAACAGAATTCATTGTTTTTGCACCACACCCAGTGCTCCATGCAATGCGTGCCCTCCATAGTACCCACCACCTGGCTCCCCCAACCTCCCACCCCCACCCCTTCAAAACCCTCAGATTGTGTTTTGTTTTTTTTTTTAAAGATTTTATTTATTTATTTGACAGGCAGAGATCACAAGTAGGCAGAGAGGTAGGCAGAGAGAGAGGGAGAGGGAAGCAGGCTCCCTGCTGAGCTGAGAGCCCGATATGGGACTCGATCCCAGGACCCTGAGATCATGACCCGAGCTGAAGGCAGCGGCTTAACCCACTGAGCCACCCAGGCGCCCCAACCCTCAGATTTGTTTTTCAGAGTCCACAGTCTCTCATGGTTCATCTCCCCCTCCAATTTTCCTCAACTCCCTTCTCCTCTCCATCTCCCCGTGTCCTCCGTGTTATTTGTTATGCTCAAACTTTTTAAAATCCTGTCTGACATTGTGCCTTTTGATTGGAGTGTTTATTAGTCCATTTACATTTAATGTAATTATTAATATGGATGAATTTTACTCTTTTATTTTTCTGTTTTTCCTGTCCTTTTGTCCTTATCCTTTACTCTCTTTTTTGTCTTAAATATTTTGTAGTGTATTATTTTAATTCCTCTATTGATTTTTTTTAATGGTATAATTTGAGTTATTTTTTCTTAGAGGTTGCTCTATGGATTATAATCTATATCTTAATGTATCAGTCTACTTTAGGTCAATGCTGATGTAGTTTTGGCAGAATATATAGTAGTGGTTTTGCTTCAACTTAGCTCCATTTCTTTTTTCCTTTTTTGTGCTATTTTTGTCATATATCTGTACATTTTATAAAGCCAGCAATACAGAATTATAATAATTTCTTTTAAAATTTTTCTTTTAGTGAAATTAAAAGAAAAAAGAGAAAGAAATATTTATTTAGTCTTTTATATTTTACATATATTTACTATTTCTTATGCTCTTCATTTCTTTCTGTGAATTCAAGTTAGTTTCTGTTGTCAGTTCCTTTCTGGCTTCTTTAGGATTTTTTTCAAGGCAGATCTGGTATCAGGGAATCCTTGGTCTTTGTGTTTCAGGAAATGTATTTATTTCATTTTCATTTCTAAAGGATAGTCATCAGCTAAAGATTGGTCCAAGGTTTGTGCTCAGACTTGAGCCAGTAAGGTTTCTATCTGTTGTCAGTGGATTTGTGTGTGAGCTATGGAATACCTTAAAGATTCGTGCAGTTTTTGAAACAGCCTGAGCTTTTAATTTTCTGCCAGGGCTTTTACTACGTGTGTGTCTGCTGCCTCCTAGTCAACCAGGGATGTGTGGAGTGCTCAGGCCCTTTTGGTGTCCTGTTGTGCGAGTACACAGCCTCAGCCCATGGATGGGCAAAGAGCTATTGGGCCCTTCTGTGGGTCTCTTATTTCTGTACTTTCCTCTTAAATTTCTGGTTAGTCCTCTAATCTACCCTTTGACCCAACCCAGACTATATTCAGGCCAGGAGAGTTGGAGTAGTTTCCTGTTTGTTTATTTGTTTGTCTGTCTGTTTGTCCTTCCTTCCTTTCTTCTTTTCTTCTTTCCTTCCTTCCTTAATCTGGAGTTTTCTACTTTTCCTAAGAACGCCACTCCCATTGGCTTCTAATAGTGGGGAAGCTGCTGATTTTTAGGACAAGCCAATATAACCAGTGGGAGGGAGGGGGGAGTGGAGCGTGGGTGGAGTTGGAGGTTTGATGGGAGGTAGCCCTAGGCAAGAACACCACAGAGTCATTGTTCAGCAGTTTTCATGAATAAACACTTTTCAATTTGTTCTCCTTTGGTCTATTTCCAGAGCCCTGAAATGGTTGTCTGGGACAGTTTTGTTTAGTTTATATTTGTTTTTTGGGTAGAAAATTTGCTAAGCTCTTCCTTGTGCTATAGTTGGAAGTTTAGACTTGGGTATTTTATTTTATGGGATGATTGTTTTGGCATTTATATGATCATTTTGTATTTTATTTTTTGCATAAGGAATTTCATTGGTAGATTTTGTAAGTTTTCTCTGTTCTCGGACTAAAATCTTTTTTGATTGTAATTTGTTAAGTCCTTTAATACATATATTAATTTTGAATAAGTTGTCATTTTTCCATTGATGTTTTTATTAAAACTTAATACTGGATTTGTCTTAATGTACAGTGAAAACTAATTCAGTCTAGAAATTTTACCTGAGGAATACACCTGTGGCCCTAAAGTAGATTGAGTTGAGCTAAAGATGATACAATTCCTTTTACAGGCATTATCCTGCACTGAAAACTCTGGAACATCTAGAGCATACCTATCTGCCTCAAGTAAGCCACTATCGATTTTGCAAGGTGATGGTGGACAACATCCCCAAGCTTCGAGAAGAAATTAAGGATGTTTCTATGTCTGATCTCAAAGACTTTCTGGAGAGTATCCGCAAACATTCAGACAAAATTGGAGAGACTGCCATGAAGCAAGTAGGTCTTGGGTTTATGATAGGTTGGCCAGTGACTTTGCTAGTATTCTGTTAAACATGGGTTTCTCTCTGCTAAGTATCTTAATTGTTTCATGTCATTTTAGGGAAGTCCTTCCTCTTTATGGGAACACATGGTTAAAAGATGAGTTTTATTGTTTTAACAGCAATGAATTATTTACTCAAATATTGTTTTGTTCTGAGAAGTTCAGTAAATATGGATCAATTGTGATGGTTTTATAGGGACCTTAAAGAGGTTTTTCTATTTTTTAAATATTTTCCTTCACTTTGGATATGATTTGAAGCCCAAGATTTTTAAAAGGTCTCTTTCTAGGTAATGCGCTAACTTATGCTGTAGGTACCTTTGGTTGATTACTTATCATGTAAGCAAGATGTCATGTTATTTATAAATATTTCTGTAACTGTTATTTCTAGTATCAATGAAGAAAGTCCTTTTGGGAAATAATGTGAATTATGATCATAGAAAAGGATTTATTTACAGCTTATAAGTGAACAAATGTGTTAGAAATTTTTAGGTTTTCTTTTTTTTTCCTTTTAATTTCATCTCTAAGTAATGAAAGCTACCAAGGAATGTCTTGATTTCTTTCTCGTCATTTTGAATAAAAGAGCACTAATGATTTGCAGTGCTGCTTGCTCTTAAAATTTAAATCACATTGATTTTATTAAAATATCTGGGTATATCTTAAGATGTAGCCTATAACAACAAATAGAAGACTTGGTTGCTTATGGAAAGTGTTGTTTGGTTTTGCCAACAACTGTGTTCTTTAAGAAGTCATTTGTAGTTCTTATCATTCTGGCAAGAAGGAGGGAGCACATCACATTTTTGATCTCAGCCAGTCTTGGTAATCTTTCAGATGTCTGATTCTGCAGAAGAGATTTGCGTCTTAGAAATTCCTTTCCTAAAGCATTACAGATTTGTCTTTTTTTTTAAAGTTTTTTTTTTAAAGTTTTGTCAGTTTTATACTGTATAATGGGGAACGTTTAAAACTATTTGATGATAAACCTGATGGAAATAATCATATCAAGTCATTTTTTAGTGGTGAAGAAAGAAAATTAATAATTGAAAGTGTATCTCCGTATTACTGGGGGTATATATATATATATTTTTTGGGGGATATATATTTTGAGTACAGGAATGAAGGTAGTCTCTATTGTGTTTGACAAGTTTTTTCTAAACTTTCAAAAATAGGAGAGTATAGTACAGAGTCTCTGTGGAAGTGTTGTTTTTTTTATTTTTATTTTTATTTTATTTTTTTTTTTTTAAGATTTTATTTATTTATTTGAAAGAGAGGCAGTGAGAGAGAGCATGAGCTAGGAGAAGGTCAGAGGGAGAAGCAGACTCCCCGTGGAGCTGGGAGCCCGATGTAGGACTCGATCCCGGGACTCCGAGATCATGACCTGAGCTGAAAGCAGTCGTTCAACCAACTGAGCCACCCAGGCGTCCCAGGAAGTGTTGTTTTTTTAACGTTACTTTTTTTTAGGCCTCTGCTTGAGAAATTAACTTCATTTCTTTTTTGGTGAAAGAGATGATTCCATGAAAATACTATTATTTCACTTACTGTGGATTATCTGGTTTTACCTCTTAATTATCTAAAGAAATTCAGGCCCAGGGCAGGGAAGTGACTTGCTCAAGTTCACACAGCTTGTAAAGGTCAGGTCCTGTAGTAGAATTCAGGGTAGTTTGAGGTGAATTTGCCTACCATGGCACTCAATCTGTGTAAACTATTAGCTATTTGGTATATTTGTGTTATATAAAGAACTGAAGAAAACCGTCATTGATTCAGAACTTTTAATTAACTGATAACCCTGTAAAATTTAAATAGGTATAGCTTTTATTTCATGTATTGTTATCCTATGCTATGTTAGTTGAGATTGTTGAATAAAAATATCTTAACACACTTTAAGATCTGTAGTACCTAAAAAGTAAGGAGAGTGGGAGGAAGAGAAATTACCATATACTTTGTACATAGTAGTTGTTCAGTAAATATTTATTTGAATTTGTGGATGTTGGAAAAGAGGGAAAGGATATGATTTATTTTTCACTTATGTCAAACTCAAAATGGTGTTTCTGACTTGTGATGGTTTTCTTTGCATTGGTCATTTAGGGAATCTTTCCATTGTGTGGCTCTGCCATTTTTAATGTGGCTTTGAAGGTTGCTGCAGAAGGAAAAAGGCCAGGGAGTATTGCCTGTGGGAGAGCTTTTAAGGGCTACTCATGGATGCAACATATTATCCCTTATACTCACATTTCATTGGCCAGAACCTAATTACTTGGCTTTTACTGACCTGCAAGGGAGGCTGAGAAAATAAAATCTCACTCCGTCACAAAGAGGAGAAGGACTCAGGTTTGGTGAATAGTAACTAGTCTCTGGTACAGGCTGCTCTTTGGTCATCAAATATCTCTTCACCTTTCCTCTTGTCCATAGAACACACATGCTTCTTCTCAAGAAAGGCAACCCAGTATCCCATCTAGTTATGACATCCATTTGAGAGTCTAGTATCTTCTGGGATGCTCAGTGTTAGGTCGGCGGGCTCCAGGTGCAGGAGGAAAAATAGAAATGACCTCAGGGTCCCGCCTCCTGCCAGCCTCCACTCCCCTCCTCCCCCCTTTCCTTCACCCTTGACTCTCCTACCAAAAGGATGTATGCCCGGGTCACCGTCTCCACAGGTAAGCCTATACCTATGCAGGAAACAGATAAAAGACCCCTGCCAACTCCCTCCCAGTGCGACTTCCCCCACTCCCCTTCCCGGAGTCGCGGAACCTCGCCCGAGGGTGCCCACCTCCTCCTGGGCGGCAACATTCCTGGCTTTCCTTCTCCTGAGCCCTGAACTTTGCGGGAGAGTGCCTTTAATAAATCTTGCCTTGCACCCACTTTGCCTGGTGTCGTGTTTATCTCGCCTATAAAACCTTACACTCAGAACTCACCATCAGATTCAGATGAGCCTCCAGATCCAGATGGGCTGCCAACCAGGAAAGAGACCAGGGAAGAGGATGACAAGTTATCCACACTGTGTTCCCTCCCACCTCCAATGAGGAAACTAGAATGGAATAACCACAACAAAAACTTGCATTTAGAAAAGGCGATAGTGGGAGATGCACAGTATTTCCTGCTTCATAAGCAAATCATGTAATCCTTTTGGGCCATCATTGGGGAATCCTTCTGCCTTGGTAATAGTGGGTCTTTCTTGCTTAGACATTAATTCTCTGAGAGGAACTCCTTTGCCCATAGTTCTCCCAGGCTCTTGGTAGCACCCTGTTTTTTCTTTCTCTGTTTTTTTCTTTTTCAGAAAGAAGTGGGTACTGGGGAATATGTCTTCCTTAGGTGATCTCTCTCCCTCTCTCTCTACTCTCTCTGTCTCTCATTTTCTTTCTCTCGTAATGTTTCTAGATATCTATACTTACATCTATATCTATACACATAGACTCCCTCCATATATATATATGCATATATATGGATATATGAATATATATGCACATATATATGGATATGTGAATATATATAGATACATATCCATATATCGATATCTATCTATCTATCTTAGACTGCCTGCTTTCTGCTTCTGCAAATTTAGGGACCTAAGGGTGGTTTTAAGTCTCTGAACAGCCAAAGGTTTATTTAGTCCAGATTTGTGATTTGGGGCATTATACTTACCTCAAAACTTAGGAGGCCTCTGTTTCTTTCCCATAGGTTCTATTTGGACACCAGATCCAGTGCTCTTTTCTAGCTATAATTTTGAGGAATAGTTTTTTTTTTTTTCCCTTTCTTCCCACTTTGCAAAGGTAGACCTTGCTTCATGCCTTTCTTACTTTAATGGCCCTGCTTTGAAGTGGTGTGAAATAATGGGTAAGAGGACCACACGTGAATCTAATCTTTGCTTCAGGATTGAGTCACTTTGTTCATCTAGAAATAGTCTTTGGAATTTATTGCTCAAACCTTTACCATTCTTTTACCATTGGGATTCTATATGCATTCAGCTTTCTAACCCTCTGAGGCCCATGTGTCTGGACTTCTTTTGTCTCCTATATTTCATTTAGCAAACCAGCAACTTCTTTTTTGTGGCTGTCTCTTTCCTGTAGTAGCTTGCTAGAGACAGAAAGGAAATGCCAGTATATACTCTAACTCTGACTGTCCATTCAGTCACAGAGCTACACGCCCCATAGGCATGTGGTGTGCCTTTTCACTTATTACAGGTTCCAGCTTTACTAGTCGTTTTGTCACAGTATTACAGGGCTCTCCAGGCTTTCAACGTGTTACATGTATATTCTTGCTGCCTATTGCCTGACCTCTCAACCAATGCCATTTATTTTAGTTTTTGTTGTTGTTGTTGTTGTTGTTAAGGCAAAACCATTCTTCCAATACCAGTTTCTGTTTTCCTTAAATAATGCTGCTTATTATAAGAGCTAAGCTCTAAAATCTCACCATAGAAGTTTCATTGTTTGCTCATTGGAAGTCCACAGTGATCTTCCTGGCAGGGTCGCTTTTCTTCAAGTGACCATCAAGGAATCCAGGACTCTTCTGACCTGTGGCTCTGTCACTTCAACACGTGGCTTTCAACATTCCAGTAGTAGGAAAAAGAGTAAAGAAGACCCTGGGGATTTTTATGGACCAGGCTTGTAAGTGATACATACCACTGCTGTCAACATTACACTGGCCGTACCTTACACACTGTAAGTGAGGCTTGGATAGATAGTCTGTCAGTCTGACCAGGAGGGACAAGAAATAGGTTTGGTGACTAGCTGGCTAGCCTCTGCTACAACCTGCTATTACACAGCCTCAGAAACCACATATCTTCCATGTCTCTTGCCTTTTTTCCCCCCAACAATTTCATTTCTTTGACGTTCTGCGTCCCCCATATGTTTGCCTTCTGATTTACTAACTCAGTTTTTAGCATTGTCATGCTGCTATTCAGAACTTTATCATTATTATTTTTAGTTTAGCAACCACAAGTTTAGCTTTAGAAATTTGTTCTAGTCCTCTTAAA